TTTAATTGTATCTTACAGTGAGAGGTGCTAAGCACCTGCAATTCATTGACTGTAATGGAGCCTGTCACATCTGTTACCTGGTAGTAATTGCATACATGACTTTTACTGAGGATTGCTCAGTCACTTGACAGAGAGCATGTTGTTATTTTAATCTGTGAGTTTAACCTGCTTTTTTGTTATGTGACTTACTGGAATTCATCGTTAATTGTTTTTGGTGGTGGTGGTGTTGTGTTAGCTACTTCTTGAGACAGTGTTGGGTGCTTGGGTTTTTTTGGATGCTGATTTCTTTTTTTCAAGTTTTCTCTGATACTCTCTTGAAGTTTCAGAAATTTAAAGAAAATTAAATTTAATGAATATAATAAAAAGTGAGCCAGCTGCAGTGACTGTAAGAAAAGTTTTCCTACCATCAGATGTGTTTACACCATCAGATCTTTAAAAGACAAAAATCTTAAGGTTAAGGAAAGTCCTGTAATAATCTTCTTGTTGCTCATGTAGTAAATCCTGATAAATATTAGCAAGTTTTGTTAAGAATGGATAGAAGAAAATAAAATATATATAGTATGTTTACTGTTCATTAAGTCAAATTGATTATGTTCCTTTTGGCCTAATGTATTTCATCTGCAAACATTAGAATTTACCAGTATTTTAGGAGGGAAAGTGTAGGGACAATATAAAAATAAAATGTAAAATATGAAATTTTAGCCTGTGGTGGAGAAATTACTGAGGGAGATGAAAATCTGCAAGTTGGAAATTTATTCATTTTATCTGAATGAGTATTATGAAATGGAAATATGTGATTTTCCACTTTTAAAAAAATCTGCTTCCTTTGAACAGGTATTTTTCAGGCGTTGCACAGTATGATTCTTTGAGCTGAAGGTATTACTTCCTATATGGATTGTTTTGTTTTGTTTTCTGAGTCTGTAAAACTCAGGAAAAAATTCCTCTTCCTTTATACTTTTAAGAACAACTCTTCACATAGTATCCGTCTGCATTTTATCCACCTGTGTGTACTGAAATCAAATGTTGCATGGCTGTAAATACCGTCTTGGCTTACTGCATGTTGACTTTCCATATAGACCTGCCTTTAACCTCTTCCCCTGCCTTCCGTATTGCTGGCTGTAGGGTGTGTCTACATGGTGTACTGAATAAACCACACAGAAGAGGTTTACTTAGATTAATAAAAGAAAAGAATAATGAGCCTAGTCATTGAGTTAACAGCTGTGACAGGCTACCTTACAGTCAATGAGTTGCAGATACTTAGCACCTCTCACTGTAAGACACGTTTCAAAATTCACTGAGTTAATGTGACCACTCATCTTCCAGTCTTTGAATTAGCAAACCTAAATCTGGTTTTTGGAAAAGATGCATCCTGCAGAGTACCGAGCAGTCTGTCCAAAGCCCAGTAAGAAATCTAAGCTTGGTTGTAACTCTCTACGGGAAATGCATTGGTAACTTTCATTTCATTGTTGGTTTCAGACCACCAGAGTGTGGGCTGTTACTGAAGAAAACAGTTTATTTAGTATATGACTGCGCAGTCTGTTGCAGTGAGGGTGTCGGGAAATCATGCCTAGAAGAGAGGGATTATGCCTCTGGTAGTAATCTGTAAATCTAAACCTGCTGTGAAACTGCAGTTGAAGACAGTTCAACTGTTTCAAGTCCAGTACTTGGCTCCTTTTCTGGATCCAGTCCCTAGTTTGCAACAGGTTCTACGGACGGATATGCAGCTCTCTTAAAGGATCGCTGATAAGATACTATGTGTGCTCAGCAGAGGGTGGTTGTTTCATTGGCATATCTAAGTTTCAGGACTCCCTAGTTCCTGCTCTGTGAACCAACTATTTGTAAGTACAGCAGGAAACTTTACACACTTGTTCTCTACAAGCCTATCTTGCTGACCACTGACAGGACAACCTTTAATAAATATCCTTATTTCAGCTATCACACTGGACACCTAAAGTCCATTTTGTGCGAATTTTGGTAACTGAAACTGCTTTAGTGAATTGTGGTAAAGAAATCTTTCCTGCTACTGGCACCTTTTTGATACACATTGTCTGGGGAAAGTTCTCTTATTTATCATAATTACTAATGAAGACAAGACTAGTTTAAGATAATATTGTGGTATGTATTCCTTATGGCTTTGCTGATGGGCTTATTAAACTGTTGTGCTTGTTGGTATGTTTTCATGCTGAATGCTTGGATACTCACTCATAAACAAGGTATTAGTGATTTACTTTTAAAATTACGTTTTAAGCTGCTCTAGTAAATAGATGGTTGTATTTCAGCAAGAAATTAATGTGAACGTTATTTTCTGATATATTGTGACCTATTTTCAGGGTTAAGGAATTGATCTCTGAGAATTTCGAACATTTGTAAAACCCGTTGTCACTTCACAGGCTCACAGAATGCAGGAATTTGGGTCCGAGTTCAGGAGAGATGTGTGTTCCCATTATCTGTATTTTGTGCAGAAGCATTTTGAAAACTGAAAACCAAAAAGTTTAAAAACTTATTTATCTGTAAACGTGCTTTCATGAAATTAAGTGTTGTTCATCTTAACCATACGTTGCTCTTTGAGACCTGACAATCTGGAAAAGCAATACTAAGCAATGAGGTAGATGGAAAAGGTGGAAGAAAGTTTATGCAAGTTGGCTCACATACATGTGCGTTTTGCAATGTCGGTTTTCTCCAGCAGCATAGGCAGACCTTTTCATGAAGTTCAGTTCTGTCTTTTCTCTCAGTGGATTTTTTAATTTTTTTTTTTTTTTTTTTTTGCTTTCTCTTTTTCTCCCTCTATCTTCTCTATGCTGCTGGTATTTCTCCAGAGAGTATGATTGCTGACCTTGCATATCCCCTCTTCATCCCTTCACGGGAACTGTTCTTCTGTTTCTCTGCCTTGTTCTCAGCTATAGCAAATCTATTCTTTAAAGATGTTCCTCTTTGAGTAACTGATCTTCTTCATTTTGTTGTTGGGGATGCATAATTCCACAGTTAACATCCTCATGTAAAGGGTTATTCCACCAGAACCTGTGGAAAAAGTTAGCAAATCTTGAATGTTGTCTGCAGCTTTCTTCTCCTTTGTGCTTTACATTTGTCTGATTTATATTGTCCAGTGCAGTTGCATCTTTAGCATTTGTTTCTTCAGTGAGTTAAATGAGATCGTAGTTCATACAAAAGTATCTTCTATTAAGATTCCTTAAAGGAATCCTTGCATATTTTTCCCTCAGTTTCTGCATCCTGGCATCTTTTTTCTTCTTCCTTAACCAATATACTTTTACAAATATTTTTACAGCCATATGATTCTTGAGGTAAACAATTTTATTGTGTAGGATACAAGTATGCACTTCATATCTCTGTGGCTGTTCGCAATTCATATTTATTTGCAGGTTAGTGCAATGTCTTTTAAGTATCCATGCCATATAGATATTAATTTGACTTTGTATACTTGACTGGAGAAAATCTATTAATGCTTAGAGACACGATAAAGGCAAGTCAGAAATATTTAAATAGCACAGCTCTCCAGATCCCTGAAAAAATATCAGTGAAAATTGTTATGAAATGCATCTTGACCTAGAGAAATGCAGTCAGCAAGAAACAGCTTCAGTTTCAGCTACAAATATTTAGAGGTACCAGCACATCCTTCAGTAGTGTGTACAAAACTAGATAGTTAATGTGTCAAAACTTGTGTGCCTGTAGGTGTAAAACATGCATAGGGACAGCTCGGGCATATGCATCCAGTAAGTACTGCTTATACCATCTCCAGACTTCTAAAAGTGAGAAGTGCATTCATTGTCTTGACTTGTTACTGTTTTTCTTCTACTAGAAAACATATTTGTTAACTTTTAATTACTGATTTGATTTTACTTTGGCATTATAAAACACTGCTCTGTTTTTGAATATGCTGGCAGTGAAGTCAGTAGTAGTTAATTCTTTATGGAAAGCATTAATTTCTGTGTGTATGGAAGTTCTTACTTAATATGAAGAATAGCAGAAAATTATATAATATTCTGAATAGCAGTGATGCATTTTTTAATTTCCATGTAATATATTGTGCTTGCAAAATGACAATTGCTGTCTCTATTAGTCTCCTGCACTAAGTTACTGCTTTTATTGGGGACAAAGGGCAAAGAAAACCACATCAGCTTGGTGGAAGTTCATGGTAGAGATGAGGATGATAGAGCTTTACTAATGTAAGGTTTGTAGTAGTCAGTGCAGTATGAGAAAGTAGGTGCAGTCACCTACTCATCTATATTCAACTGATTTTTTTCTGAGCAGGATAATCAGTAGGACAGGTTTAGTGCTGGCTCCCCTGCAGCTCCTCCGTCCCCCTTCTTCCAAAAAAATCCAACCCTGCTTTCCCACAACTCTCCTTTTCCTTCAGCGTCAGGCATACCTCTCATTTTCATTTAAAGCAGCCCAACCCTCACCCTGTCTTGTGCTGGCACTGTGTCATCTGGCAAGGCAGAGACTGCAACCTAAAAAACTTTGGAGAGGTGGAAGAACGAGGTCTCTTCATTCTGGGAATAGCTCATTGCAGCAGGGGTACTGGGCTTTCTGCAGTACCACAGTGTGGGGCTTTTTCACTTTGAAAATACCTTCTGAGCCTTCACCTACATAAAGAAATCCATGACTGATTTAACTTGGGAGATTTCTTTTGTAAAACCACTTATTGGAAAGCTCATTATCAGTTAATAGTCCTTATTTTACTTTACTTATTATCACAGATAAGAAATATTTCATTTCTCTATTAGTTATCGCTTCTCCTAATATTCTGATATGCTTCTCCATTTGTAATCATGTATTTGAGAAACATTTTTAAAATGTTAGTCTCCTTTTTCTTTTTAAATATCAGATTAGGTTTGTTGTTTTCCTTTGGCTGAGCCTCCTGGATATTTTTTTTTAATATGCTGATTCCCAGGGGAAACATCTATCTGCAATATTGCCTTTTAAGCCTTGTTTTGTTTTGTTTTGTTTTGTTTTGTTTTGTTTTTCTTCTGTTTCAGGAAGAAAAAAGTCAAGAAATGTCTACCAATTTAAAATACCTTTCCTTGGGCATCCTGGTTTTTCAGACCACAAGTTTAGTCTTGACCATGCGTTATTCTCGGACGCTGAAAGAAGAAGGACCGCGTTACTTATCCTCTACTGCAGTAGTTATTGCTGAACTTCTGAAGATTTTGGCCTGTGTTCTATTGGTCTACAAAGACAGCAGTATGTGTCAAATTTTGCACCAAGTAATTTTCCTAATCAATATGCTGTATTGTAGTGGCAACTGCAAAGCAGCCATGTGAGTACAGGCATACAGCAAAGCGTTTCCCTTCTCATTTAAGAAATAGTCTTGGAAAGACACTAATCATACTTCACTCCTCAACACATTATACAAGATATTGTATATTTGCTGAAGAGAGTTCTCTTTAAAGAATGTGGATACTGAGGAGTGCAAGAATAAATTTTCTACTAACAGCTTGAAGCTTGTGTTTGCTCAGGCTTTTTAAAAAATTCATATGTAGAAGTAGGAAAAAATGAAAAGCTTTCAGTGTCTCCAAAGCATGAATGATAATTTAGAAGCCTATAATAAACGGCAGATGCAGAAGGGAGGAAGCTATTTCATTACTACAGGAAGAAGCACAGTTTTAAGCTCAAAAAAAGTATGTTCAGATTTACTCTAGTTCTTATTTTGTATATTTTATACTGACTTTATCCAGTTCCTTGACACATACATTTGATCTTCAACAGCTTAAAAATATTATTGTATATGCATAAATATTGATGACTCTGTAGGCTTCTAAATGTGCACTTTTTAGGTGATACTCTTTAATGAATATATCATCTTCAAATATTGATATGGTTTCAGTAAATTTTAGTTAAAGTGTTCTGAGTAATTATTCTCGTTCTGATATTCCAGGCTACAGGAAGACACTTTGCAGCCTTTTTTTCTTACACATACGACACTCATGAAAGTCAAACAAACATAGACAGTATTTTGAGGTCTTGATAGCAGTGATAGCTACAAAAAGGGAGCAACAATCTTTGAGCACAGAACATCGCGTGCTCTCGTTTTTTTCCCCTTCCGTCTCTCTTAGTGAATGTCTATTTCTTTTGTTGTTTCTTTGCATAGAGTGCAATTTACGGACTCTGAACAGAGTGCTACATGATGAAATCCTTAACAAACCCATGGAAACTCTTAAGCTTGCTATTCCTTCAGGAATTTATACTCTTCAGAATAACTTGCTCTATGTAGCATTGTCAAACCTAGATGCAGCCACATACCAGGTACTGTACATTTGGATTTCTCTGTAAGTTTCAAAAAACCCCCATGAATTATGCGGTAGTAACTGTTTCTGGGTTCTTCTAGGTTACATATCAACTGAAAATTCTTACCACAGCATTATTTTCTGTGTCCATGTTAAGCAAGAAATTGGGCATATACCAGTGGCTTTCATTAGTAATATTGATGACAGGAGTGGCACTTGTGCAGGTAAATATTAAGAGGTGGTTTGTGTTTATTTAATGTATTTATTCAAGGAACATGGATTTCTATACTGATTATATAGCCTTCTGATTCTACCAGCTGCACACGAGCACCACAGTATGGTCAGGAGCTATGAATCACAACTGGTCAGGGCTAGAGGACACCAGAAATGGTTCAAAGGTAGAAGGTAACACCTCTTTTGTGTCCCACTGCTCTACTGTAGAACACGACAGGGCCTCTGGAGGAACCTACAAACAACCATGATAGCAGTATTTGTTAGCATACTACTTCAGACATTAGGGATTCACAGATCTTCTGTGCCAGCACAGTCTTGCTGCTCACCTTGTGATACGGTTTCAGCATGGCAAATTTACCTGAACTTTTTCAAGAGGCAAACTTGGCCTCTGTTCTAAATAGCGCGGGTACAGGAGTTTGTAGTTTTCAGAGGGCAGGATCATGGGATAAGAGATTAGTCTAAGAATTTTTAGCAGATTTCAGCAGATCCTAGAAACTTTTATTTTAAAACTTAAGGATTTAAAAAAATTCTGAGGATTAAATTTTGTAGAATTTTCAAATTTAATAATTAAAAATGAGAACAAAACATTCTGATAGTAATTAGCAGACTCTTCAGTATGTTTTTGTCTATGGCACTGCATTTTATTCTGTTAGCATTAGAAATATTGCAGGATTTAGCTTCATAAATTTCAGCTTGTTTTAGTCGTCTGCATAATCACTGAAGAGGGGCACATGTAAAAGACAATTTATCCCATCTTAGACAGCTGGTGTAAGTGGTTTTCTAACTGTGCTTATATTTGTAAGGTAACTGTCGGGTGGCAAAAGTTGGTGACTGTGAATGACTGTGATAAGTCATGCTGGGATTCAGAAACAGTTCTGGTTTATAAAACATAAATCATGGACCTGTTTAAATTGATGGGTATTCTCCCTGCTCAGGCACAATTTTATGCCTTACAAATATGTAGTAAGAAAAATTATAGCTTTGCAGTCCTTTAAAAGTATTTATGGTGCAAAATACAAAACTTTACAAGTATGTGATTGTCTGTTACTGTTGTTAGAAAACAAATTTGCATTTTATAGATGCTCATGACTTGATTTTATCAGTGAATTTTGTATAACTGTTTTTACATCCAGTGGCCTTCAGACTCTCAAGCAACAGCTGCTAAGGAGCATTCAGCAGGATCTCAGTTTGTAGGCCTGATTGCGGTTCTTATAGCATGCTTTTCTAGTGGATTTGCTGGGGTGTATTTTGAGAAAATTTTAAAGGAAACTAAGCAGTCTGTGTGGATCAGAAATATTCAGCTTGGTAAGTTTAATTTTAGTCATCTCTCAGAGATGCTGCACTCTGAAGAATTAAGATAAATGTGCAAAATGTGTATATATATAAATTAAAAATATCACCAATATTTTAGTATTGTGCATAAATCTACTTTTAAAACCAAGAGTATATAAACTCTGCTAGATGGAATTCTAGCAGTTGCTTTCTGATCTCAACCTAGTTCTTGATTTAAGCTGCTTATAGAGTGTCTGTAAGCTTGTACAGAATCTGTCGATTGAATTTGTATTTAAAATTTTCTAAAGAATGTTATCTTATGCAGTATTCTGTGCGTCCTCTGTGTTTAAAAATTACTCTTCTGCACAAATTCATAAGATCTGATATAGATGGTATTTCTATTCCCCCCCTTTTTTTTTTTTACTTTTTTTAGATAATATAGGAACATTAAAATATGTTTCTAAATCAATGTTTTGAGATGTTTTAAAATTAAATTTTTTTCTCTTGTGTCTGGGTAGGCAGTTTTTACAGGTTGGCACTTTTAATACCAAAAAACTGCTTTGTTTGTGAATAAAGTTGAGGTAATGAATTATTATTATTTCAGTACAAAGGTCAGTTTGGTTTAGTTGTCTCTATAACCACTGGAGAGAGGCATATGCAAAAGACAGTTCATCTTAACTATTTTAATGCCCTTACCTGTTGTGCACCTATCAGTAAGAGAATACCTTCTGTTTCCAAAGTAGTTCTGGATCTTCTAGAACCTAGATATTAATGGTGACAGAGTCGATCCATTTTCCTGAATGAGTTTTCCCTCACCTCAAAGCAATCTTATCCAGTTTGTAGGGTTGGAAATGTGACATCGGCAATATCTTTTTGTTCCTCTTTTGCAACAGAAACAAAACTTATTGTTGGAGTTACCCTTCTTTCTCTAGTGGAATCCCGCTAGTCTTCACCTGTAGGCAATAATTATTTACTGCATATTTGAATAAATGCTTTCAGCAGAATTTGAACTTTCCAGCACCTTAGAATGGACTCTTGATCAAATCCACAGTACTGCAGAATTAAGTCATGAGGATGATTTAGTGGATCAAGGCTGTGTACTGAGACTGGTAGAACGTAATGAAGTACCATAAAAACAAGAGATGGTGTGGAGTTTTTTAATTAGATAGTTGGTCAAAAACTGGTCAAAAATGTCTGAATACAAGCAATATTTTTTTGTTTCTTTTTCTGTTGCTGTGGTTTAATTATAAATGGTTTCAGTTAAAAACGCAGAACTGCATTTTGATTATATTTTAATATTTTTACGTCCATAATGTTTTGAAACTTGAGGATAGAGAAGGGGATCAAAACCTCTACTTACTATCTGCTAGTATTTATTGAAATTATGCATATTAAAACTAAGTTTTCTTGAACAGGGTGTAGGGGATACATCAGGAAAGATTATGTTAGGGAATTTTGGAGGCAGAGAAGGGTGGAGTAGCTGGGGCTTGGTCCAGGATTTAAGATAAGATGTGGTGCTCTGGATGGAGCTACAATGTAAAATCCGTTCCCAAGGAAAGTTGATTATTATTACTCTCAATTTCCATGCTAAAAGTGCTTTGGTGGGCAACAATGCAGATATCTGAAACAATTTCCAATTAAATATTAATAATTGTTGAAAAATAAATGATCTCTTCTAAAACATTCTTCAGATTTTTCTACAGTGCACAAAAGTATGTATGAGAACAAATGAGTTCACTAGTTTGATAGTCGGCCTGGTCATATATTGAGTGTTCCAGTAATTGCTTTGTGAAAACAATGAGATCAGAACAGACTGCGTCTAAACACAAGCTGTTCAAGGTAACAAATAACTAGAACTGTGATATATGAAGACATAAATGTCTGTGATAATAGTGAGAATCGAATCACCTGATATTTTTTTGTTTCGTTTTTGTCAGTGAGCTTAACTTGCCTCAATACAAAATTCAGTAGAATATGTTTACTATTAAGGTTGGTTTCAGTTCAAAAATTAAATGAATTTTGTCATATTTCATAGAGGGTTTCCTCATACAGCTTTTAGAAAATATTTAAAACATGAAATCACTATTTCAGAAATACGTTAGTGTATCCTTTCTGCAAGTGCAAGATAGTTGCCTGCTTAAGACATTGTATCATTCAGGAACAAGTCATTCATAAGCATGAAGTTTGAAATAGAGCTTTTCTTAAAACACAAGCAACAAAAACCGTAAACCAACCTGGTTTTCATTTTCATATCCGTAGAGAATTATTAGAACTGTAGAAAAAACTGGAAAATATATTTGAATAATTGTTGAAAAATTCAGCTTTTAATGCATACCAGTATCATATTAGCGATGTATGAATAGTTGATTTTATTTATTTTAGCAGATCAATTGAAAAATAGAGTAATTGGTTTAACCTGAACGAAACCTGAACTTTTAATTATGTCTACAAAATAATTATTCCTTGTCAAACAGAAGGTTTTATTTTGTTCAAAACAAGGCCGCCCTTTTCAGACGCAAAGAAATGCAATGAAAATAGAGGTCAGCTTTCCACAGAAAAGGAATGGAAAACATGTTCCCCCTTTCCTGCTCAGGACTAGAGCCTACCTCAGTCACAGAGGAGGGGTTTGCATTACTTCCATGCCTGAGGGGACTAGGAAAAGTTTCCCATCCGACAGAAGAACACTATACTTACCAAATTATAAACTTTTTAATCTCATCTCAATTTCTTCTTTTGACATTGTCTCTGCTAGTAAACATTTGTTGTGTTTGAGAGTGGTTCAGAAGAATCCCATTTCCAAGATCCTTGTCTGAACTGGCAAGCTGATAAGTCCTGCTCTTGCTGTGTCAGTGACCATCTCCTCCACTGAAAGTTTTCCCTGTTCTCTCCAGGTTATAGTGTGACTTCAGCCTTCATTCATGACCAGTTTCAGGAAAACTGAAATTGTGTTTAAGTTAATTTAGCTATATACCAGAAACAAAAATCACCCCATTCCAGTAGAAAGCAATGGAAGATAAGTATATAAGAACATCCTAATGGAAACAGACAAAACTTGTTGTAAGTGTGGAAAATAGCTTTTAAAAGAGAATATCTGTCTGAACACTGATAGCATTTGAACGTGATGGTCTTGCAAGTAGCAGTCCTATTTTAAAATCAGATATACATGAGCAGTCCTTGAGGATAAGGAACCTGTTTGCATGTTTTTCACCTGAAGCTTTTAAATCAATCTTGTACTTTCAGGATTTTTTGGTAGCATATTTGGACTGATGGGTGTATACATTTATGATGGAGAACAACTGTCAAAGAATGGATTTTTTCAAGGATACAATAAACTTACTTGGATAGTTGTTGTTCTACAGGTGAGATGCCTTGTATCACATGTTTCTGTGAAGACACTTGGGATTTACTCTTCTATAAATGACTGGGGAAACTAATGGGTGTTGTTGAAGCTACTTAGAATTCTATAGTCAAAAGTCTGATCTATCGCTATTAGGATAAACCTCTAAATAAAAACCTGGAAAATATATAGCAAGTATATGACTAAGTATTGTGCAACATAAAAGCACGTAAGCATTATTTCTTTTGCAATGTTTAAAAAAAATATATATATGCCCTTTCTCCTGTGGCTAAAGATGTATAGTACAAGCATTTCCGCTAATTTAATGATGGTAATGTAAGCAACAATTTCATTAATGGGGAAAGAAGAACTCTTCCAATATTTATCTTCAACAGTGCATATCCATAATATAAAATAAATGTGATACTCCTAAACATAGATAAAAGCTTTTCCTAAAGTAAACTCATGTTGTTAAATTAGGTCCTCTCAGTGGAATTATCAGGTTGCAAATCCAAACCTCAATATTTTGCAGGCACTTGGAGGGCTGGTGATTGCTGCTGTTATAAAATATGCAGACAACATTTTAAAGGGATTTGCAACTTCTCTCTCTATCATACTGTCAACACTGATCTCCTATTTCTGGCTGCAAGATTTTGTCCCTACAAGGTAAGAATTATTTTCCACGTATGCTGACAAAAAAAGTAGTTGAAAACTTAATGCTTACCAGATATAACTGCAAAAATAAATTTAAAAAGTCCAAGCCACACTTTTAGAATGCTTAGATACAACTTGCACATAAAAGTTTAGTTTCATAACATACCATAATTAATACTTAATTTTTTCAGTGTAGTTGGCAAGATTAAATTTTCTGTAAGATGCAGCCCCCCACAGGTCAGGAATAACTGAATCTCAAATCTTGGCTTTTGACAAACCTCTCTCTTGCAGGCTCTATGTTTTAGTTCACTGTCCCTTTCTCTGCTCTTCCTCCCTGCCCGATCTCCCTGAGTTTGTTGAGCTCCTGCTTTGCTTTTATGCTGAGGCCAGTCGTCTCTAGCTCTGATGCTTGCCTTGTACTGCCTGCGGCTCTGCTCTTTGAACCAGCCCCCCCCCTGCTGGCTGTCCTGAGTGAGGTCCTGACAGAGGTCTCCTCTTTGTCCTCTGAATGGACAGATCTTCCACAAGTCATCTCACTTCAAGAGGAGTTATGGCGGAACAATGATAACGATGACAATCTTTTTATACGGGTTTTCATCCAATCTCAAAACAGTCTCTAAAACCGATAATTGCAATCGTACACGCATGGAAGTTACACTACAGCAATTAGTTGCCCAAGGACACCCAGAAGCCCAAAGGCAGGCCTTTTTTCTAAAGACCATACCATATTTATGAGTGAAAACACTCAACCAAGAAAGAGAGAAAAATGCTTGCTATATGCTTCTAGGCCCAATACACTGTGTCCTGATGTTTTGTGAATCAGATTTTAGTAGCTCCGTGCACTGCGGGTTTTGTACGTGGGTAGGTTCTGGAATAGTGCTTGTCTTGGCAGTGCCTGTTAATATATGGAGTGTAGAAGTAATATTCCAACTTTCAGATATATTAATAGGATTTTGCTTATAACTGACCTACACTCCTCACAGATGTTACACATACTAATAGCGTAAAAATATTTTGAATAATAGTTACAAGTTTTGTATCTCATATAAAGAAACATCTTTTTATCTAAAAGTAGGATTTGCAATATTAGCAAGAGTTTACTTAAACATTCAAAAAAGGAAGTAGAGCAACTATTTAGGCTTAAAAAGTGGAAGACATTGAACTTAAATTAGAAGCAGTCTATACTTCTCCTATTAAAACAAATGTAGAAAGTGGTTTAAGAATTTCTGTGTACTCAAATGGAAAATTAATAAGTAACTTACCAGCTTCTGCAAACATGGTGAAAATGGAAACAGTGGTAAATAATTAAATGAGATGGAGCCAACTAGCAGCATATAGAACTTGAAGCCATCTCATTTAATAAAACTTGATTAACTTGAGCTAATCAAACTTAATCTTTACTACCTTGCTTACGCCAACTGAATTTATTTGAACTGAAACTGAGTAATTGTTTCTCTCACTTCATCATTTTTGATTGGGATAATAGATGTAAAGTACTTAAGTGCTTGAATCTGTTGCAATGGATCGTGTCCAGAAATAGGCTAGCTGTATTCTCTGAAGGATTATCATGTCATGCGCCACAGTTTTTTTTAGTGTTTGGTTCAGAAGATCAAATTGTCAACATTGTCATGTCTTTATGACAAGGTTCTTTTCCAAAATGTGTACTGATTGTCTGTTGGCTTTGGATATTTTGTTTCAGACTTGTAACTATCAAAACAACTCGAAAGGCCCATATGTCACAATACAAAAGATGTCTTTATTATCTTTTCCTTACATAAATCTTTATGTATCTGCCAAAAATTAGATTATACTGACTTGCAGACTGGCTCTTCAGCAGCAGTAATTTGCTTTGACATAAGCTTTGGACTTCAAAGCAAACACAACTCCAGCATGTAACATGTTAAAATGGCTGGGTAACCACGGTAGTTGTACTTCTTTAGCTTCCGCTTGCATTTTGCACAGAGCTTTAGGCAAAAGAAAAAAAAAAAAAAAAGGACTGGTCTGATTACTTTTGACAATTGTTCTGTGAAACTATAATTTTAATTTTCAGAATACGTCAGTATAGTGATACATTACTTTGTGGATGTAAGTTTCTTATTTCAACTTCTTCCTGCATCCTTCTATAATAAATATAGGCAAATTATTTTGTTCTTTATAAATTGGAAAAATATAATTTATCTGTGTTCCCACAGGAAAAATGTCCTTTCTTTTGATTTATGCAATTTTGTTTATGTAATACAACTAAAATGAGCTAACTTTATTTGTTTTTTTTCCCCCTGTATTCTCTTCAGTGTCTTTTTCTTCGGAGCCGTCCTTGTAATAGCAGCTACTTTCCTGTACGGTTATGATCCCAAACCTGCAGGAAATCCCATTAAGGCATAGCATACTTCCTCATCAACCTGCTTCTCAAGATCATGCACTGGGGGCCTTGCTAACAATGGCATGTGGAAAGTGTCATTGTCCACTGCAAGGAAAGGATTACTACCCTGAGTCTATTGAAGAAATGCTTATGAGTAGTTTTGAACAGCCAGAGGGGTTAAAGGTGGATGATGATACTGTCTGTAACTGATGGAAAAAAAATGGCAGGGGGATGCCCAGTGCAACTTGCTAATAAAAACTTGAAAGGAACAAAAAGTTTCCAAGAAACTGCAATTAGGAATGTTTACAGCTTTGACTGGGATTGCATCAAAAGAATTTACTGTATTGACTGCTGCAGAAATATGTCCTATGCACTCTTTGAAAGAGCACATGACAACGTTGTCAGATTGTATGTTTTTGCAATTTGACTGTATTTAATCTTAGTAAATATGTTTTTAACTGTTTGTCTATTTACATGAAATCAGCTGAATACACATCATAGTTCTAAAGTGATGGTTCTAATTAGATATCCCTTATTAAAACTGTGAAGATTGAAGTATGATTGAAAGACACTTTCACAATAGCAAATATTTTTATATTTTTAGAAGGCAGATTTAATAACAGAAATCTGTTCTGTTGCTTATATAAAACTATTGTAAGAATGTTAACATTCTCACCTAAGTACACAAAGGGAGAAATTCAGAGTGAAAGCTGGAAATCTATGTTGATACTCCAGCCTTCATCCGGAGAGCCTGTAGCCAACAGATGCAATAACTCTGGGAATACAGGCCAGAGGTTACTGCACTAACCTGGCACTAAGAGTAGGGTTTTGATGGAGTCCTTGCTCAGATGTAATGTTCATTCTTTTTATTGATTATATATCAACTTGTTGGTAGAACCTTTAAAGTAGTTTTTATGCTGTAACTATCCTCTGGGGATTTTTTTAACCACGGTTTAAAAAAAAAAAAAAGCCCATAATAACATTTTAAATCCATTATTGTTGTCTGTAACAGCTCCATCTGGAGCTATTATGGTATATCATCTGTATACTGTACTGTACTTTATTACAGAGGTGTTTTTTAAACAAATGTTGTTTACTCATGAACTCTCCAAGGCTTTTTCAGTACATTTCTATGTAATGGCTTAATTAGAGTTTGTTTGTTTGTTTGTTTTAATTATTATTTTGTTCTGGGAGTCCTTGAGCCAACAGACCAAAATGGGTTCTCTGGAGCTATTCAGTCTACTAGTGGAATTACTTTTAATAGGAAACATAATGAAAAAGTAATTAATTGTGCAATAGGTAAATATAAAAGCATGCTGTTCTTCTGTTTTAAACCAAAAAAAAAAAACTTCACAAAGAAACCTAGATGCAATTAGAACTTAGATCAATTAGACTGTTACAAACACTTCACTTGTTGGAGTATTTGCATATAGCCAGAAACACCAAAAAAAAAAATAGCCAGAACTGATAAACAAAAAAGGCTGTCTTAAAAATCACTTGTTTTCAGGAGACCTGTTCACAATTGATATTAATGTAGAGTGACTTCTTATCCACGTTACATTTGTAAAGGTATAGATTTATACAAAAACATATCAATAGTCCCTTACCTGTAGAAGGGCAAGTGGTAAAGATGTGTGATTTCCTTTTGTCCTCCCTCATGCTCTTTCTCACTTCTGTTTTGTGCTAATGAACATGTTGTGAAGAGAGAGGTGGTTTAAAATGTTTACCAAAGTACCTCATCCTCTTTTCCACCTTTTAGTGGTGGATCGACAAGGAGATTCTGCAAGAGTGCTCTGAGATTTTTTTTTTTAATGAAGTAGTGTAAATGGGAAAGGAAAAATTCCACTTACATCAGCAAAGTAAAAATAGCATTTTCCTTCTGTTGGCAATGACGTGGATTATCAGCTTTTTGTTTGTTTATCATATCGGAGCAAGACATGAAAGAACTTTCAGAGTTATGCCAAGGGCTTGCTAAGCTTTGTCAACTGTGAATCTATCCCAGCATGCTGTAATTGCAGGAGCTCTGCTACTCAGTAGTCAAAACTCTCTCGTATTACCCTAAACTGGCATTCTATGTTAATATTAAACCTTTTACCTATAACACCCAATGTGGCAAAATCTTTGAAAAACTACATGTAGTCATTTCGCCACTGAAACACGACATGAGGTAAGATACCTGCATAGAACAGTGGCTCGCAGTGTTGCTTACCGTACAACGGGAAGTGCGTGACTCTGACGTGATCTGAGAAGTGTTGGTAGTAATGTCTGCGTTGGAGTTTGGCCTACGCACTAGTGCTGTTAATTTCGTGAATCGCAGTAGTAGAAATGTTCAGGGGATATACTTGGTTGCTTCCTTGAGGAATTTCTCCAAAAAACGTAAGAAGCAGGTTGAGAACACTTTAAAGCCAGTTGCGCAGGAAGGGACCAAACAGGCCAAATAATCACCACATTGCTGGAGTTCTGTTACATATAACCCAGTTTTAATATTTCAGGTGCACCTGTCAGTATTTGTCAATAAGGAAAGAACAGGAATATGTGCTCTCTGCTTTTGAATAGGATGTCATACAGCTTTGGAAAACAATATATCTGCTGTGCTAAGGAACAGTAACTCCTGTCCGTAGATCAGTGACTCTTCCATGCTTTCAATTTACAGTTCCATTACAGTTCCATTTACAGTTCCATTAAATTTTCCAGTAGAGGGATAGATCTCTTCATACACTTGTTGCTGTAAAGGAAATATGAATTTACATTTTTAGCTCTCTTTATCCTGTAAAGGCTAAGGCAAGACTCTTGTCTGAGACCGTCCAGGTTGAAAAGCATTATTCTAGACAGAGGGAAGACAGAGTATGTTTCTTGAGAACAGAAAGGACTTGAGGAGGGTTTACTGATTTCTGTAACCTTTGCAATCTCGGAGCATATGCACATTTTCTCATTGAGATACTTTTGTATCTGGATTTTAAAATTAAAAAAAAAAAAAAAAAGGCAGTTTTAAGTCTATAACTCATTAACTAACCAAAGAAGCATAGCTAGCACAGAGCATTGGGAAGTAGGGAATAGTGTGCTTTGAGTTTGCCCTAAAAGCAATCTAGGAGTCTAACTTTAAAAAAATAAACCTGTCTTTCTGAACTATTTTTCTGTCTTTTAGACTATAAATTTGTTAGTTTAGTTGTATATTTAGGAGGCTAACCTATACTTAGCAGAATTTTATTTAAATATTTATAAAGTTTTAGCTAAGTATTTATTTGCAATAACTTGAATTATGTGAATTTTTTTTTTTTAAGACTTGCATAATGGGAGTACTAGTATTTATTGAGTACTTGGATATTTGGTAGTTTTATTTGAGAATCTCTGGGATACATGATAAATGGTCAAATAACAATAAACTTACAACTCTCTTCAAAGCAAAATAAATCATCAGTTCAGTGGTGGAAAATCTTGACTCTAATGAAGTAAGACAAACTTTTCTTTAAACATCGTAGTTCTGTGCTATCCGCAAGTGCCCAATGATCTTTTTTCTTAAAGAATTCAGATAATTTTGTAGTTCTATTCAACTTCTTTGTTTTAGACAAACTATAAGAAAACTTCCCTTTTTGTTTGCTGTAATAATGGCTAGATTAATGTTCTAGAACCGGCTTCCACAAGCTAACACCTTGGGGTTTTTACTGTAACTTTTTAGAAACTATTGGTTTATTTTTTCTCAAAAAACAAATCTTATTTTGGTAGCATATGCTTGCCTTTCAGTTACTCCTACAGTCCTCTCACAGATTTTTAGAAGTACATAATTGTTTTGCGTTCCTAACTTATTTTTATGGCTGTAATTCAAAAGACTGTAATGGATTTTGTTGAATTGTTTTAAAATTGATAAATGAAACATTGCATTTCTTCTGTTTTTCGTTGTCAGTAATTTTCATATTTTAATATACTTCCATATCGGCCGTGCATGTTCTGTTGTATATAAGCGATCATCATTTTCCAAATTTGATGTTGGTCATTTTCCTCCTGTTGACAGTGTTTCTTGCTGGGTATTGTGAATGAGGAAGATTATTCGTTGTTTTCTTCTCTGAAATCCATGTTTTATAAAAATGAGATATTAAAAAACATTAAGGGTTTTTTTGTGTGTTAGAAAGGTAATGTTTATCTATAACATGGTATAATACCACGTGTGGTAGCATATCATTACCTATGATGTTCAGCTATTGTGACAAAGTCCAAGAAGTGTTTCCTTGCCTTTGTTTTCATTGTTCTGTTCATTTTTAATGCTGATTGATTATTTTCCACAGGAAGTTACTAAAGAGTTCTGCTCTTTCCAGGTAAGCTCATTATATGTTTTTAGATCTCTAGAATTAAGGTGTTTTTACTGGAAAAAATGCAGGGGGAAATGCAGCAAAATAAGTGGGGTTCAGTGCTCATCCTTGAATGTCTGCTGCACATGTGCATCCAAGAGTAGACATGACATTTTTAACTCTTGCCTTCAACCTTCCATCATCGTTCTGGGTGTAATTAGCCATATTCATTTCATTAGCAGCCTATAGCTCAGTAAGAATTGCTTATATGCCAAGCATATGTTGATATTTGCTGCCATGAGTGACACTTCTTTAGATTTTTAAAAGTTTGTCTTTTTTGTTAATATATTTTAAATTTAATTTTAAATATATGAGCCCAAATATAAATCATGTATTCAACCATTGTAGCAAAATTTTTAAGGTAGTCTTAGGATTTTTTTTATATGTTGGTAATGATACTCGTGTGTGATGACACTGAATACAATTCTAATAGATGGTGTTTCCAGGCAGTTTGGAAACAGGTTATTATTTTTTTTATAACACTGCTGAACAACGGAATGCATCTTACGTGACCTAATACAGTCTTTTTTTAATCCATATTGAGGTAAAATACTGTCTTTTTTTCCTCCTGTATGTGTAGATAATGTCATTATAGTAATAAACTGGTTAAAATTAAGCACTGGCTTTATTAAGAATACGATATAAAACTGTTTGAGAGCTTTGTAAATGGAGAGGCTTGCCTTATGCATATTTTAGCAGAAATAAAACAGTGTTTTAGTTAACATTTATTATTTCAGAACATAATTTTTGCCATAATTTTCTATAAACTCCAGGAGGCTATTCTAAGATGTTTGTTAGTGGTATCTTTTAACATACCGCTTACTGAATTTTGCCATAAATTTAATTTTGACTGAGACATGCTTCTTTTTGGCCACTGTATCATGACTTCTTGTGAATCACATTCCAGCCGTGTTCTTGTGACTGACTGTCTCTGCAGTCCTCTGGTCTGAAAACCCTGATCTCCTTATTCAGGACTGCAGTTCCTAAACTGGAGGTGGTAGGGAGCGCCTGGGTATCAAGTACCAAGCTATAGTATGGTGTGCGATTGTAAAACACTGTAATCCTTTGTAGAAGAGTTTTGCCACAAGTTACCAGGAGGCAGCTGGTGATTCAGTAGCTTCCCCCCTCCGCCGCCCCGTTTTAAATACTTAATTTTGATAGCAGTGGAAATTACTATACAATATACCCTCTAGAACACAACACAATCCGTTGATTCATGTTACAGTTTAGAAGCTGAGGTTTTGTATAGCTATAATTTACAATATAGAATCATAGAATCCTTGAGGTTGGAAAGGACCTCTGAGATCATCGAGTCCAACCATTAACCTCACCGCCTGGTCCACCTCTAAACCATGTCCCCTAAGCACCACATCCACACGTTCTTTTGAATACTGCCAGGGACTGTGATGGCACCACTTCCCTGGACAGTCTGTTCCAATGCCTAATATATCAAAGACCTGAACAGAGTTCACAAACACATTGCTGTAGATGGTGGATAACATATTTCCCTGTCCTTTCCAGAGATACAGATAATGAAATCAGGTCATTTCACCAGCTAC